AAAAAAAAAAAAAAAAAAAAAAAAAAAAAAAAAAAAAAAAAAAAAAAAAGAAAAGAAAAAAAAAGAAAGAAAGAAAAGCCCATGTGCCTGACTGAACTGCTAGAAAAAGCCAGCCCGAGTTTCAAACTGCTAAAAGCAGTTTCAAATGCAATTGAAACTTGGGCCCTGACTAAACTGCTAAAACACAGTTTCAAATGCAATTACAAACTGTAACCCTGACTGCGCCGTAGTTTTCTCTTTTTTTTTTTTTTTTTTAGGGTCCGCGTTCAACCCGAACGGCCGAACGCATCCCCAAGGGATCCCATACGTTCGGGCGTTCGGGTTCGGGCGTTCGGCCCGTCCCGAACGCCGGTTACCCTGTATATATATATATATATATATATATATATATATATAAATATTTGTGAATATTTTCTTGAAAAATTATGGGGGTTAACCTTTTGATGAAGCCCCCCCTCCTCCCCCCCCCCCCCCCCCAGCCAAAAAAAAAAAAAAACGATCCTACTCTCCGTGAACTCCTTGAACTAGGACAGGCCTTCATTCACCAACCCCGTGAACGGTGAATGGGGGTACGGCACTGCTCGCCACACCACTCTTGCAAACCTTTTTTCAAGAGTTGCAGCGCCGCCACACATCCTCTTGAAAGCTTGCATTCAGAAACAAATTCAAGAGCTGTCAGAACGTGGGTTCAAGAGTCACGCTTGAAGAGCCCGAAATGCCCACCTGCAACAGTCGAGATTTCTAACTTCCTAGGCCCGGTGGTCGATGGAAGCTTGGTTTTCAAGAGATGTCAGGTTGTAACGTCTGACACCCGTCAGTGATTTTGGAGTTGGCTTTTAAGAGTCTACTCCTCTGGTTCCGGACATGGTCCCGACGAGGGGCAAACATCGGACACCGTTTCGGACCCATTGTGGTCCTGGTCCGGTGGCCATTGGCGGGCACACTGGCAGAAGCAACCAATGCTTCATGGCGAGGATTCCGTGCACCTCCACCCCTGTGCTCCGTGCCGCTACGTCCAGTACCGGCGGGCTGCCGCCCACACTCTATCCAGCAATAGACGCAAGTCTGTGGTTGGGATATGTTGGGGATCAACGTTGTGCCCCGCATCCGAATGACGCTCGCGCTGCATCGCGCATCTGCGATGTGTATCCTCGGTGGGGTTGGGTCTACCTTCGCCATGTCAAAATAGAGCATCGCAGAGGGGTCCCGTGCTGTGTCCGAGGAGGATTGGAGAACGGCGTTCCGTTGTGACAAACTACTTTCTAAAACACGTGACTTCCTGCACTATGCTGTTTTCGAGGGTGGAATGAAAAGGACCAACCCAATTGCATGAATGCCCCCGTCTCCATTTTGTTTGACAAGGCTTGACTTTATGGCGGTTGGTAACTGATCGCTCTCTAGCGAGCGAGGAAATAATTGTTGTGGTAGCCTCTTTATTGTTCTGCTAAAAGTGAGGAAGGGAACTTTTTTTTGGCGTGATTATCGCGCGGAGGAAATCTTTTCAAATTTTTGAATGCGGGAATTAGGACTTTAGATTTGGCTAGGAATTGGGAGCATCATAATTTGGA